AAGATGATGTAGTAAAAACGGCCCTGAGGCCAGAGGAACGGACGCACGCATTCCCAGCTGAGTATGAGAACCTAACAGAGGTCTTCAGTGAGCGGGGTTGTGACAGCCTTCCACCTCACCGTTCGACTGACTGTGCCATAGAGATACTGCCAGGAGCAAAATTACCAAAGCCTCGCATGTATCCCATGACACCGAGGGAATTGAACGAACTGAGACAATACATAGATAAGAACCTGGCTAGAGGCTTTATACAGCCCGCACGGTCCCGGATAGCAGCACCGGTGCTCTTCCAGGAAAAAAAGGACGGAGGACTATGGCTTTGCATGGACTTCAGAGGCATCAATGCAGTGTGTGTGGAATATTTATACCCCCTCCTTTAATGAAGGACCTCTTGGCCCATTTAGCTCAGGGGAAGGTCTTCACAAAGTTGGACCTGCGTGAAGCCTATTACCGGGTTAGGATCAAGCCCGGTGATGAGTGGAAAACTGCGTTCAACTGCCCCCTAGGCAGCTACCAGTTTAGAGTGATGCCCTTCGGGCTAAAAGTGCCCCCCGCGGTGTTCATGCAACTAATTAATGGGGGTTTGCATGAGCACCTATACCGTGGGGTGCTCGTATACCTAGATGATATATTAATACATAGCAGGTCCATGGATGAGCACGTCCAACTGGTTCGGGACGTGTTACAGAAACTGCTAGACGCTCAATTATACGTGAAATTATCAAAGTGTGAATTCCACCGGTCCCGTCTTGATTACCTGGGGTATAGAATATCAGCAGAGGGGGTGGAGATGGATCCAAACAAAGTTAAAAGTGTATTGGAGTGGCAAGCCCCAAGAACTCGCTGACAGCTGCAAAGCTTTCTGGGGTTTGCTAACTTTTATAGACAATTCATCCCCTCCTTTGCCATGGTCGCCCTACCCCTTACGAACTTGTTAAGGACCCGAATGTCGACAACAAAACCCCGTCCCGGACAACCACTGGCCTGGACAGCCGAATGTCAAACAGCTTTCGAGTCCTTAAAGGCCTTATTCGCGAGAGAACCAATCCTCCTACATCCGGATCCGGAACGTATGTTCGTGGTCCAGGCAGATGCCAGTGACGTAGCAGTGGGCGCTGTGCTACTTCAACATAACTCGCAAGGAGTACTACAGCCCTGCGCGTACACGTCACGGAAGTTAACAGAAACTGAGAGGGCCTGGGCCATCTGGGAGAAAGAAGCGTATGCGGTGAAGTGGGCCCTATCTACCTGGAGGCATCTCTTAGAGGGAGCGAAACACCACTTCGAGGTCTGGACGGACCATAAAAACTTGCAAGTGTTACAAACCCCGAGGAGGCTGTCGCCGAAACACGTGCGTTGGGCGCAATACTTCCGCCGCTTCCGATTTCATCTGAAGTACGTGCCGGGCGGTAGGAACTTTTTAGCAGATGCTTTGTCCCGGCTGCCTCAATTCGATAGCAAACGGGAGGAGGTGGTGCAAGCGATTATGCCCCCTGGTGAACGGAACGAGGCCAAAGCAGTTACCCGGCCATTAGGAACGACTCTTGAAGACGACCTCCGACCAGCCCTCCGAGATGACCCATGGTTGCAAGAAAATCGTGGCCTAGTAACCCACAGGGATGGGCTGGCCTGGTACGGCAGCAGATTGTACGTCCCACTGCCGCTCCGAAGCCGGGTGCTCCATCGCTGCCATGATTCTAAACAAGCGGGCCACTTCGGGTTCTTGAAAACCTTACACCTGGCTCGCCGTCAATTTTGGTGGCCGCGGATGAGGGTGGACGTAAAGGCATACGTGCGAGGGTATCAGGTCTGTGCCATGTCTAAACCTGATCCTGGAAAACCCAGGGGCTTGTTGCAAGTGGTAGCCGAACCACATCAACCATGGCAAGACATAGCCATGGATTTTATCGTGGGGCTACCCAGCAGTCGGGGTTATACCATAATCTGGACGGTGGTGGATCTTTTTTCTAAGCAGGCTCATTTCGTTCCCTGTAAGGGACTGCCGTCTGCTAGGAGACTAGCTCGCATGTTCCTGTCCCACGTGTACCGACTCCACGGGGCCCCACGTCGTATCATCTCGGATCGTGGGGTCCAGTTCACAGCCCGTTTCTGGTGAGACTTCGTACGGCTCCTGGGGTCCTCACAAGGGCTCAGTTCAGCGTACCACCCGAGCACTAACGGAGCAGCGGAACGGGCGAACGCAGCGGTGGAACGCTACCTTCGGAGCTATGTCTCACTCCAACAAACGGATTGGGTGGAGTGGGTGGTGTTCGCGGAGGTAGCATATAACAATGCTGTACATAGCAGTACAGGGTTCACCCCCTTCCGGGTGGTGTCAGGTAGAGAATTCATACCCATGCCCGAGGTCAAAGGCCAGGAATCACCGCCCTGCCAGCCTGGGGAGTGGACAACACAGATCAGTGGGGTATGGGAGGTGGTACGTAAGGCCCTGGACATAGCGAGGCAGGAGGCCAAACGCCAAGCAGATAAAAAGCGGAGACCCCAAACATCGTTTAAAGTGGGAGATTTAGTATACCTTTCCACAAAGTACGTACGGCTCAAGGCTCCTAGTAAGAAGTTGGGCCCGAAGTACATAGGACCATTTAAAATAGACCGAATAATCAACCCAGTAACCGTGCATCTTAAACTTCCACGGTGTCTGGGCAGGTTACACCTGGTGTTTCATGCTAGTTTGTTGAAGCTGGTGCCCCATGACCAGCTAATGGAAAGGCCAGGACCTGTAGCCCCCGACTATTACGAGGTGCAGGATCTCCTCGACTCAAAGGAACGAAAGGGCGAGGTGTATTACCGCGTCCTATGGAAAGGATACCCGGTATCAGAACCATCCTGGGTACGAGGTAGTGATGTGCACGCCCCCCGTCTTATCAAGAAGTACCATCGTAGGTACCCGAACAAGCCAGGGCCCCAGTCAGGGAATGCTGACGTACAAGGCACAGCTGTTAATTATGTATGTTTGCTTTCTAGGGGGACCTCTGGTAGGGGGAGCGGCATGTCGAGCCCTGTGCGGCCGTCTGGACGGGCGGACAGACCGCCGGGCACCCCATCTGCTTTACCCTGGTCTCCAGGCTTCCAAAACGACGCTGGGAAGCGACCCGGCCTCCAGGCTTCCAGGCCGGCGCTCAGAAGCGAGCCGCAGCATCGTCGCCCCCTCGGGGAGCTGCCGCCGTCGCCGCCGTTGCCTCCATTGCCGGCGCCTCCCTCTGACGTCATCTGCAGGCCTCTCAGGGCCGACATGCGAGGAGGACAGGGAGGCCGGCGGACGGTTGTGAGAGGCAGGCCCAGCAGGCCCAGCAAGGGAACAAGCTGGGGAAGCAGCCAGCTGAGGCCTTGACTGCTCCAAAATGGATCCTGGGAAGCAGCTGGAGAGGCTATGGAGCATTCCGGACATGGGGCAGGGTGGCAAAGGCGGAAGGTACAGTGAGTGCAAATGCTGGCCTGAGGGATGGGGCTGCATGCTGGTTTGAAGGGTGGGGCTGCTAAGGGCGCGGTTAATAGGGGGTGGGGCTGGAATGGGAATGCGGGTGGGGCTGTTGTGGAGCCTATGTAAGGCACTGGGAGCCAGCGTCTCCCAGTGCTGACTTTGTTTTGAATAGAGTGCATTAAACTGCTATTCGTTTAAGCGTACCGGCTACTGGCTATTTTGTGAAGCACTGAGGCCGGACGTTTCTGACACTAACCTGCCTTTCAGCTGCATTCTGTTTCTCCGTTTGCTTCTTAGCCTTCGCCGTGTGTTTGTGGAACTATTGGTAAAAAAAAAAAAGTTCTATCAGACTTTCTAACTTCTTGAGATCTTGTGAGGTTAGAAAGTTACCGATAGTCCCACAAACACATGGCAAAGGCTGAGAAGCAAACGGAGAAACGGAATGCAGCTGAAAGGCAGGTTAGTGAAAAAAACTCTTGAGGAGGGGGCAGGCGTGGCAACCTTACCCTGCGCGGGTATTGATGCAAGTTGCTCATGGATGGGACTGAAGGCCTAGGACTGGGGCAACGGTGCACGTGCCCACAAAGAGCTCTGCATGCCGCCTGTGACATGCATGCCATAGGTTCACCACCATGGGTATAGCCGATGCCTTGAAAATTTGCAGACCATGGCTTTTAGCATGGCAAGTATGTACTATTTAACATCAGTTTAAATGTGATTGGCTAAGACACATCCCTACTTAAGAGAGGGTATGCACAGTTATGCAACTATTGTACTTTGTTATTTTCCCCCTAAAGCATTTCAGTTTGTTTTTCAACTGAATTGTGCAGCTTGTTATATTAAAGGTGGAAAAATTCTAAAGTGATTTATCTTGATCTGATTTTTTTACATCTCAAAAACCTGGCATTTTAACAGGTATATGTAGACTTCTTATATTCACTGTATGTATGCTACATGCCCTCCTAATGTATGGATTTATAAAACATCTTAATTCATAAAGCCCATGAATTAAAAGATAAAAATGAAACTTACAGGAATTGCAAGAAAGGAATGTATTGCACACTGATAAAGTCAAAACAGATATATCTGTTTTTTAATATATAACAAATCTTTAAATATACTTTGTGTATTCAGGCTAAATTGCAGTTTAACTTAAAAGATGACAGTTTTTACACTAGTAAAACCGATGCCTTTAGAACAGATTGAAGGAATATTCTCAAATAATACATCTTAAGTGTACTGTTGGCTATGCACTATGTCAGCATGGGGAGAAAAAAAGAATTGGCATAAATTCTATTACCTTCTTAGGGTCCGTCAGGTTTGTTGGCACAAGTCTGAATCTAATTCAGTGCATTCATTACTTTTGATGATTATAGAGCTAGATACTTTAATAATTAGCATAATTTTCCTTATTTATTGCTTTTGCCCAATGCAGTTATGTGGGAAAAGCTATTTCATTCTTCAGTTTGAATTTTATTTTTAGGATCTCTCATATCTTCAGATACGGAGACATGACTTATTAGTACCATAATTAAATAAAGCAAGAAAATAAAATCTAAACAGTCATACAGAAATGTTTAATGCATTTTCTAATCAAATCATCACAGCAACAGAACTTCATTTTACTGTAATGAAGTGCAGTTTTACCACACCAGTATAAATTAATACACTAAGATAAATGTTTAATACAGCTCTAGAAATATTACAGGTGCAATGGTCATAATCAGTAACTAAACTGTTCAAGCAAGAAAAAAGAAGTGTGTCTCCCCCAGACATCCCATTCTGTTCCAATATAGATAAGGCTGTGTTATTATATTATTCCAGGTAAATCCTTTTTTTTTTTAATGCTCAGGCATGCTAATTTCAGAATGTCTAATATATGAGCAGAGTCACATTTTATGTGCTTGTAAGAAATTGGGTAAGAACATAAAACACTACATTAGATCGTACTATAGATATGAATTACTAAATTAAAATACATCTGGGGTATGAGTTGATTTCACATCGCAAAGGGCATTGTAAATTAATACAATAGGCAACTTTGGTAGAGAGCCTATGGCAAACCAAGTGTATAGATGAGAGCTTGAAACGAGACAAAAGTTTTAAAAACATGCTACAGGAAAAATCATTTTAGTTTTGCATGATTAGCACAAAGAACAGAAGGATTAAATCATGTTTAGTTTTAGAGAAAAAGCATCCCAAGATTTATACATAAGGTACATTCAGTTAATGGTAATTTATAAATATAAAAGGAATACAGGTGCCAAAATGCATTGTTTAGCCACAGAAATATAATTTTCTCTGAAGTGGTGTTGAAGTACCTAATCACAATGAACAATTAATTATTGCAGAGAAACATTCTCAAGCATTCTGAAAAGCCATGTAAGATTATCTGGGCTGTTTAACAAAGCAGTTTGCAGTACTGATTCATGATTTTTACTCTGGTAATCTTTTGAAATATGGTTTTTTTTTCAAAGATGTGGATCAGTATCTTTGGATTATATGATTTACAGGAAAAGTACAGACTATTTTACTTTGGCAACAAAAATAACCTTGTTACAAGGGTTTGCATGCATAGAATAAAGCATCTGATTTTGTTTGCCTCCTTAAAGTGACTTCCTGTGCAATTTTGATAATAGTTTTGAAATTTGCTTTCAAAACAAACTTATCAATAGAGGTAGGAAGGGCAAACAAAAACCAGAAGTCATACTATGCAAACAAACCTTATAATACAACTAAACTTTTATCGCTAATTCATGTTTTCAGTAATATTTGAATAGCTATCAAGATGGTACAACTTTTAGAATTTTTAATTGCCCATCACTCATGAACTTTATACAGTATATCAGTTTTATTAGGTAAATCAAATCTCATATCAAGTATTAGCAATACCTCCTAATAAATGAATATTCAAAATGCAAAAAAGTTTTATTAGGGTTGGTAAAATCCAGTTGTTATGATAGTTCTTGGCTTGTATTTATTTATTTATTACAGAATTTTTCAAGTAACTCAATTGCATTTCAAATCAATTATTACCGCTTCAAAATTCCTCAAAATAAACATTTTAAATTCTGTAATATTTACAAATAAGGTTCTATTAATAATTAGTCCCTTAATTAAACATTAATAAACTTAAAACGATGGCAATCAAGTTATCAGGATGGGTTACAAAGAAATATAAACATCCTTTCAGTAGAAACTTGCCAAGTTTATGGAGGATTTTGAATATAAAAATAACATTAAAGTAAAATCAATAGTGTGACTCATTTATATTTAATATATCCTAATCTGTAGAAACAAAAACTATGATATGTATATTTAGTGCAAATTATAATATTTTTCTACCTTTATTTGGTATAGGTATGAAAAACAAAAAGACTTTCATTTAAGGGGAATATTCTCCAGTGCTTGAACATGCAGTTGCTATCAGGTACACAATTAAACTGAACGAACAGAAATTAAACAGAATTATTCCAATTCTTAATAGAATAGTAGTATTCTCTTTACATTTCACAAAATTGGTATATAACTTAGGATTTTTAATAGTACAAAAATTGCATAAGCCTCAGTTATTATTTTGCAACAGAAACATAGTTTAAACATATTTGGCTGTTTAACTTGCAACTACTAAACTGCAGGGTTTAACATGCTTCACCCACGTTTATTAACCTGCTCAATCTATTTTTCTTGCAGTAGATTAAACTGTCACAAGACTTTTATAATATCCAAAGTCTTAAGCTTAAATGGCACAAGAAATACTTCCTTCTTGTCATCAAATTCAGCAGGTCACAGAACATCTCAATATGAGAAACCACCATTTCAATAAAATGCATCAATTGTAAGGAGTATCAGTTGGGGCTCAGGAGAGAGAAATGTTCTTCTGGAATGTAAACAGGTAATGCGGAATAACTATACATTTCATGAATTAACCCAACAACGGTCTATGGTAAAATGGACCAAATCTTACAGTTTTCAAAGGACAGCTCAATTCAATGTGATTCAGAAACAGGAACTAATCATCAATTTCTTTCATGCTAAAGCAGCAAGGTCCAAACTGGAGCTTATGAAGTTCTTATGAATTGATGTAACGTCCAACTGCACTATCATGGCAGATCTAACATTTCAGAGTGCATCCAGTGCAGGTTTTCAGTTTTTGTTTTCTTCATCTTTCTTACTTTGTAAAACCACATTTTCCTAAATCAACTCCTAAGTTCCAGCAGTTTACTTTAAAAAAAATCCAGCCTTTCTTTTGCATCACAAAACTATGCCTTATATTAAAGTGTTGTACTGTTCAGCAAATGAACCTTCTCTTCACTTTCCTCTCTCTCCTCAGTTATTGAGTTCAGTTGAACATTATTGATGCGGGATCTTGGTTTGCCATCTGGGCCATGTGTCGAAGGATATCTTTTTTTGTGATGATGCCAAGGAGGCGCCTAGAAAGAGTCACACAAAATATAGCTAATTAACTACAATATATAAAGCCAATCAATTTTTCTTGTAGACAAAATCCTTTTTGTTGATAGGAACAAAGCAGCAAAGTCTGATTATTTCAAAGAATGCATTTTGACAGGAAGTAACCATCATTTTATTAAAACTATAAAAATACTGTGAAAGTAAAGAGAGAGGATGGTACCTACTTTCACCTAAGAAATAACCAAGCTACCACCCGCTGATAATTTGTTGCTGATTATAATATGCCAACAAAAGTAACAAAATGGGAAAAAAGATTTGAGTAAATGAAATTGATCCCGTTACAAAAATGAAATACAGTTGAATCTAGGCAAACTCAAAATTGCTTGATAATTCAATTTTGAGAAACTGAACCTAATGCTTTAGGTGTTTCCATAAGAGATGTGCAGATAAGCTTGAACAATAGATAATCACAAATAAATTCATCTGAAATTCAGATTTTTAAAAAAAATTACAGCCATACTTCTCCCAAATTAAAAAGCAATGCTGTTATGATCAAAGTCTTGCTAATATCAAAGAGTGAAGTTGTCCTAAGTAATACTATTACAGGAGAGGCAGAGAGAAATATTACTCTAGTTAGTAGTTGTACTGTAACTGACTTTATAAGAGGAGGCATGAAAAACTTGTGAAAAAATACAAGTTAAATAAGAATGTAAACAGTTAAACTTGGAAGACAGGTTTTATTTTTAATTTTTTTAATTGCAGAGCAGCAATTATAATCTATGTGTCATAACATACAGCAAAAGGGACAACTGATAAATATCATTAGTGTTGATCAGAAAATATAGGAAATCCTAAGAGATCTAAAATATCCTGTTGTAGATGTCAAGATTAAAGTGTCATATGCAGGTTTAATACTGGTACTTAAAATTAAAAATGAAAACTCTAATTACAGAGTTTTGGCAAGTTTTATGTAATTTCACAAAACCAGGGAGAAAAAGACGTATGCTAATATCTATGAGAATATCAGAATTTCTAGCACCAAGATTGCTAAAATACTACTTAGGTCCTATCTTCATTCAGCATGTTTTCAACAAATCGATGTTAAATAATATGTTTCAAATTTACATGGCATTTTAATTTAAAAGCTTTTAGAGTTGTATACGATTGCTTGTCCAGCTGTTGTAATGGAACACTGAACAATTCACAAGTTTCATGCTTCCTGATGTCTAAAGTGTCAAATGAGATCTGATATATCTAATCACCAAGGGTTCGACGTGCTGCTTTAGTTGCTCGAGATGCTCTAATATGTTCTTCTTTGTGATGATTCCCAAGACAATCCTGAAACAGATCATGTTATGCTAATAACTGTGTGTGAAATAAAATGAAATGAAAACATGGATTGCAGAACTGGTAGTAATGAAAACAGTGAAATGAAAACCTTTTTGTGATCAACATCTCTTTCAAAAGATGTAAAATTTACTGTGGGGGCTTAAAACAAGAATGAATTTAAACATGATGAACACTGGTTAGGCCTTTACTGCTATCACTAAAACCTCCCGTTTCCTAAGGCTGTAAAAATGAAATGCAAGAATGAGCTTAAGTACTGCAGATAGGAATTCTAAGCTTTTTACAAATACTAGATGCTACGCATTTTATCCAGCTTTTTTTGGATTCAAAGCATATGAAAGATTTTAAATATGCATTTAAATTTATACCAGTTTTTGCTTGATTTCTGCATTTAGAATAAAGTAAATTGCATACTAATATATTTATTTTGAATTATTTTTAACATAAGAATAGAAGAGAAAAACATGTTGAAGTTTTATCAGTGCCGTCTAGGATCAAAATCAGGGAGTGATGCAAGACAGTTGGCAGAATTATATATCCAATCTGAATCAATCACTAGGACCACAGGTTTAGCTTTCTGAGCTTTTGGACTCATGCTGGAGCCCATCCTCAGGGAACTTCTCTCTCACCATTCTGGTCCCAGGGACTGATCCAGATTGGATTCTGCAACATTATCCTAGGACACATATATTTGCCTTCATTCGTGAGATTTACATATGATCACAAAGCTACACAGCCTAATTCCTGGAAATCCTGCTTAAGTTATTTCTACATTTTTCTTACAACTCATACGGAGACAAAAATAAGTTTTAAACTCTCTACTATAAAGTAATTTTATAATATGTGTAATATAACAGCAAGTTTTGTGAAGTACCGGGTTTCCCCAAAAATATGACATTAGGGTTTATTTTCTGGTTAGCTCTTATTTTCAGGGAAGTATGGGTCTAAATGCATCCATCTGGTTGACAATCTTAACTGGGGCTTACTTTTGGGGTAGGACTTATATTATGAGCATCCTGAAAAATCATGCTAGGGCTTATTTTCTGGTTGGTTCTTATTTTTGGGGAAACACGGTAGTAAAAGTATCAAACTAGAAACTGGGAGACAATGAATTCTAGTCTCATCTTAGGCACAAACTCAACTGGGTGATCTTGGGCCAATCACTCTCATTCAGGAAGGAGGCAATAGCTAATCATTTCTGAAAAACATTGCTAAGAAAACTACAGAACTTAACCAGGCAGTTGCTACGAGTAAAAACTCATGGATAGATGGACAGACAGAGATGATATAGTCATTTATTGAATTTTTAAGGTGCCTCAGTCATCCAAGAGATGCTAGACAACGTGTGTGTATGTGTGTGTGCGCGCACGCACGCACACACCCACCCACACCGTATATACACTGCATACTCTTATTATTTAAAGAAGGGATGGTATTGGTAAAATACTGCACAAAGAAACATTTTTTTCTTTCAAGTATAGTGCAGTATTTTATTTCCTTGATAATGTAAGAAATATTTGAAAATCATGGAACTGAAACAAAATCTACTGTTAATCAATTTTTTTTAAACAGAAAATTCCTTAGATTTGTTGGATGTACATATATATTTTACTGTCCCAGATTTTCAACACTTTCTCTAGAGCAGTGGTGGCGAACCTATGGCATGGGTACCAGAGGCTGCACTCGGAGCCCTCTCTATGGGCACACGTGCCGTTGCCCCAGCCTTGCCTCCCCCCGCGACCCCCTCCTCTCCAGCAGCCCCCCTGAAGGAGACTTGCCCTCGAGCGTGGCCCACACGGAGCAGCACAGCCAAGGACATGGCAGCCAGGCAGTGTAGTCAAGACTCTGCCCTCACACCCCATCATGCAGTTGATGCTGCAGGGTGCGGGCAGAGGGTGTAGCCACCATAGTGCTGCTGGGCTGCCTGGGCAATCTGCGGTGGGCCCTGGAGGCGGTGAGTGGTCCTGTGGGCAGGCGGGGTGGGGGATGGGGGGGCAGAGCGGGGGGCGGGCGGGGGGTGGAGCGGGGGCAGGGCCAGTTTTTGGGCACTTGGTCTCTAAAAGGTTCGCCATCACTGCTCTAGAGCAGGGGTGTCAAACTCAATTTCATTGAGGGCCGCATCAGCATTGCGGTTGCCCTCAGGGGGGCGGGTGGGTGTGGCCAGGGTGGGTGCGACCTACTGGATGGGCGTGGATGGAGTGGGTGTGGCCTACTGGGTGTGTGGCCAGCTCTACATCATTTGCATCAAGGGTGCCTGTGGGGGCCTGGACAGGAGTGGGATAGATCTGAGGGTCTTTGGCAGAAGGGGGTGGGACCGGGGCAAATGCCAAGGCATGGTCCACTGGAGGAGCCTCACTGTTCCTCTCAGGCCTTGCGGGGGAGGGGCTTATGGAGCTAAGACTAAATGCATTTCAGCATAGAGGGCCACTACAAAATTGTACATTGGCTCCCGGCTGGCCTGGGCCAGGGCCAAGGCAGCAGGGGCTGTTCCCTCACTGTTTCCAGGATGGCTTCGCAAGCCACATGAAACCACTTTGCGGGCCACATCCGGCCCCTGGGCCTTGTGTTTGACATGTCTGCTCTAGAGTGTCCTAACAGAAAAGTGTCCTAACAGAAAAGGTCCATTCCTTCTACTGTATTTCTAATGAGTTTACCAACTGAGCTTGCCTCTCAAATTGAAAAGAATAAAATCCAGTTACCATTGACATTATCAATTGCAAGTAATGCTACAAAGTTAAAGTTATTAAATTAACATAAATGCTATATATCTGCAGGCTAACTATTTTCATGTCCATAAAAATTCATTCACTAAAACGTTAAAAATAATATTTTGGTTATCTAGGATTGCCTTTTTATTTAGTTTATTACTTTCCAAAATAATTATGAACTTTTATTTTGTCTGTATATTTTACTATACTACTTTTAAGTGATCACTTCAAATTTTAAAAAGTTATTTCTACTCACTACAATATTATATATTGTCACTCCATAACTAGAGCTCAATCACATTGACTGGCAAACAACTGGGCCTAATATGTGAAGAATGTAATTATAATCTGCTGCGCTGATGATCAGAGAGAGACCTGTCAATTGAAATGCTTTCTAGCTAGCTAGCTATCACTGTGAAATCATGTCAAAAAAGCTACATGTGTAAATACAATTTTTAACCAAGGCTTTATTTCTATAAATGGAAGAGATGGAAGGTGATTTACAATGTTCAACAAATTTCCTCCTCTGTCACAGCTTTAGGATAGAAATGACTGGCAGATTATGGTCTTTGCATCTTTAGCTAACAGACTTTAATCTTATGATAGAAAGCAGAAATCTGGAAATATTCAGCAACGAAATAAATCAGGAATAGTTGGCAAAACTGGAAATTGGAAACTCATCATAGAGTTTTGAAGTCAGCCCTGTTTTTTGTGGCATGTCTCAACAAGTTTATTTTTAGAAAAAAATGTTTAAAAAAATAAAAGTAAAAGGACAACCAAACTTTTTTTTAAAAATAAACAGCCATGTAAATTTCATATTTTTAATGGAAATGCAGAGACTGCAAATTATACCAAAGCTCCATTCAACTCATTGTGGCCAATAGCTGGTTGGAATATGTAGTACATCTGGAAGTATTAAACTGGAAACAATTGCTTTTTTAAAAAATCACACAGGAGAGATGGATATCTTCTAAGGGATGGAAGGTCAACCTGTAGATGTAGGGGCATTTGAAGTGCTTGGTAAATTTCAAAAATATTCTGCAAGTGTAGAATACGAAGTGTAGAAAAGTAGAAAATAAATAAAGAATGGCAGTTTGCAGGAAATGGGGAGACACTTGTCAAAATAAGAATAGTGAATGGCTCAATGACCATTTTTACTCTAGCCCCAAGGATGAGTTATTTCACCTCACTGATAACAATCATACAGACCCTAAGAAATTAGCTGGCTTTTGACAGAAAAAAAGATTGCAGAAGTTCAGCCTTAGCACCCACACTTGTTTCCACAATTCATCCTCATAACCACAACCTGGGAGAGAGATTGATATAAATAGCTACCTCCAAATACACAGTGACTTCCTTGACTGAGCAGAAACTTGAACCTAGACTTAAAAGATTATATTCCAGCATTTTAATTACTTTGCCATATTGGCTTTTTAATAACTTTAAAATAAAATGATGCAGAATGGAAGTAGTTTCAAACGTGCTGTAATTTTACAATTGCACACAGTTATCTATTTAAAATATTTTATATACACTCTAGAAGAATGATCAAATTTCCTATGAACTTAATGTGAGAATTCAATCTAATATATTCCACCCTATTAGGAAAACTCAATAAACATCACAATAGCTTCTTACTTGCTTTTAAAAGCTAACTAGGAAATTCAAGAAAGTTCCAAGAAATTACATAGAACAGGGATCCTCAACCCCAGGATCATGGCCCACTACTGAGCCATGGCCTGTTTGAAACCAGGTTGTGCAAGTGATCAGCAAGCGTGCACACGAAGCTCCACTTACGCAAGCAGTGGGCCCTTGCGCTCGAGTGGACACCACTTAAATGGAGGGGGCGTGAGCATCTCCACTTGCGTGAGTGGAGCTTCGTGCATGGGAACTCTCTGCTCATGTGAGTGGAGTTTCACGTGTGAGCACAAGCGATCTGCACTCAAGCGCCCTCCACTCGCAAAGCTCCATTTGCATGAGTGGAGGGGTGCACACTGCTTGCAACAATGGAGGTATGCGCACATGTGTGCCACTGCCACTCACACACACCTCATGCCAAGCCGAGCTGCCAAGATGGAAAGGTTGGGGACCGCTGACATAGAACATAGAATTGGAGGGGAACTTGGAGATCTAGTTTTTTATTTTTACTTGAAAAATAAAGTTATGGGTGGAGCAAATACAATCTGTAAGACTAACATTTTTAACCAGTCTGAAAGAGCCATTAAACTATGTGGGGAAAACAAAATCTTGGCAGAGTGCAGAAGAAAATTTTTCAATAAAGAACTCACCCATTGTGTGTTACAAGACACTGCCTTAGGCCCAGTTTGCGGAATATATCCACCACAATCTCCATTGGTGTGTGATCCGTAACTGTAAAAGGGCTCATATCAAGAATGCTCCTAAGCTTCAAAGGTCGAGGACTTTCTGCTGAAAGTGATAATGTATGCTGGGCAAAACAGACTCTGGAACTGCCAACAATGCCTTCTTGTTTCTTTCTGGCACTTTCTTCAATAAGAGCAAAAAGAAAAATCAGTATGAAGGATTAGATCTTTTTTAAAAAGCAAGCTATTGCTAGATTTCAGCCAATTGCTTCATAATAATAATATTATTCCAAAATTATTTTCTTCTCAACACCCATATATGGATATGTTTCATATTCCCACTGTAAATATGCACATATAAATTGAATAGTTAGGTAGCTAACTGATGTGATTAAAAATATCTGATTAAAAATAAGCTGTACAGGTAGTCCTTGACTTACAACCATTTGTTTAGCAACTATTCAGTTAAAATGGCACTGAAAACAGTGACTTAAGACCAATCCTTGCCCATACAACTGTTGCAGCATTCCCAGTCCTGTGATCAAAATTTGGTGCTTGGCAACCAGCATATATTTACAATGGTTGCAGCATCCTGGAGTCACATGGTTTCCATTTGTGACCTTCCTGGATGGCTTCCAACAAGCAAAGTCAATGGGGAATGCCAGAGATTCCCAGTCAGATGCAACCTTATCTTCCACAGATTCAATTTCAGCTCTGCAGCCACATTCATAAAGCAGCAATGTTCAAATCAAGAAAAGCAATGCAAACAAAGCTGCTTCTACACAGAACCCCAGCAAGGAGTAACTCCTATGACAATGTGGCCATAGCAACATTTTTTTATAAAAAGGAAGTCCAAAAGTTTTTTTCAAAGATCAAGGTCTTTTAAGTAAGAAATGTCTACAACAATCTAGTCACAGCTTAAAATGTATAAAATCTCATTTGGCTATCACAAGGCCACAGAAGGACAACTTCATCTGGGTCTATTCTGAAATTCTTATGTTCTATTCAGAATTCTGTATGGCAAAAAATCTACCAAGCATTTCATCTGAATAATCATACCTGCACTGTTCTTAAAACAACTTTGCAATGATAGAATAGGTATATTTGATTTAAACGTGTAATTATCTACAAAAATAGTACATTGAAGATTCTTCTCCATTTGATAAGGAAATAGAAAAAATGCAGGGCACGTCCAAAATACATGAGACCAACCTTATCTGCTCTTCAAACACCATGTTCTCACTTCCTTCCTCATGGGTATGTATACTTTCTGTACTTCTGCTATGACTGCCTTCCTGTTACACTTTGGAAAAATAACATATATTCTCCAGTAATGAAAAACAATTACCTATTGCAATAGTCAAATCTCTCCTTAGCGCAAATCCTACTAGTCTTTGGGATTCTTTTGACATTATTACAGGAAAACCATTATAGCTGGTTTCATTGATCAAATTTTCAATGTCATCCACAGTCATATTATCCTGTGTTAATACTGCCAATGGGGCATCATTTCTTCGAGGTCTCATGACATCAGCAGCCAGGGTTGTATGAGTAAATTCTTCCTTGGCATCCAAAAAAGGATATCCATTCAGACGTATGTGTGCTTCATAGATGCCTTCTCTGCCAAAAGCATCTCCAACCCACTTGCTCGTCATTACTGCAGCCATAAGGGGTACGATATACTCTAGTCCCCCTGTTAACTCAAATACAATAACCACCAGAGATACAGTCATCCTTGTCACTCCACCTGGAAGAGAAAATAAAAATGGCTTAATCAGCATGTTGTGAAATGCATAAATATTTCGAAATATCAACTAACAAAATATGCTGCAGAGACAGCAGTTAAACAAATTAACAACAACAGAAACATGGAAGGAAGATGGTTAAATAGTATACTGCCATTTAACTGTGAGGTCAACATTAAATTGCAACCCTGTCGGTGTTTATTTGTGAGCAAATTCCACTGAGCTTCTACAGACACACATAGTATAGCTCTACAAATATTTTAATAAAGAACTCTGCTGAATCTTATATTTCTAAAAGACATGCAGAGGTGCTCAAAGCAACCATATCTGCGAAACCTTTAACCAGCTAGGTCACAGCATCAAGGAGCAAAGTAGTTTTCTTGAATTACATTATGCTTAGACTTGCACTGTAAAACTTAATAGAGGAAATTGCTAAATCTAAGTCCCAAATATACTATCTCTGAGAACCAATGTGGTTTACAGGGATCTGTCTTGCTTCTAATGGATTATTAATTTGCCTTATTTTTTCAAGATTCTAATTTTTAAAAAGAATTAGGCATGAAGATAGCATGCTACCAAGCATTAATTTAAAGCTTCAACTTTATTTCCAATCTGTTTCTGGGCTTTGTTGTGGTTCCTCGACTGCCAGCAGATCCGGCAGCCAAGTCAAATGAATTGGATGAGGGGGAAGGGGCGCCTGGGTTCACATCGGAGTCCAAGGAAGGTTCTGAGGAGCAAGAAGACTCAGAGCCAGACGCGGAGCTGGGCCCATCTACTCACGCTCAGGCAGAGAGACAGCTGTGTTGGGGGCCTGAACTGAGTGAAGAGGAGGAACAGCTGGGGCCTGTCCCAGATGCACGTATGAGCAGAGAGGTGAGACGAGCAGGACAACAGTGGACAGTGGGGCGGCTCTCCAGGAAAAGTAAAAGATTCTAAGAAGCCAGGCCCTGGCTGGACTATAAAGAGGAGAGGTGTGGGAGGTGCAGGTTGTCACAGGCAACCGTTCATGCTCTGGTATCTTGTTCCTCTATCGCAGACATGTCAAATACAAGGCCTGCAGAGAAGAAGGGGTTAACCTATTTTCCAGAGCATCAGAAGGCAATAATAGATGGAAACTAATCAAGAAGAAAACCAGCCTAGAAATAAGGACTTGTGAAAACAACTAACCAGTGAATGAAAAGACTTGCCTTCAGAAGTTGTGGATGCTCCATCATTGGAGGCTTTTAAGAAGAGATTGGATATTCCATTATCTGGGATGGTATAGGTCTCCTGCTTGAGCAGGGGGTTGGACTAGAAGACCTCAAAGGTCTCTTCCAACTCTGTTATTCTTTGAGAGAAGCGCTGCCAACCTCTCCCCTTCCTCTCGTCCCTTCCTGGGCACGGAGAAAGGGAAGGAGGGAAGGAAGGAAGGAGAGGGAAAGAGGAAGAAAGGAAAGGAAGGAGATGGGAATGAAAAGAGAGGGAGGGAGGGAGAAAGGAAGGAAGGAAGGAGATTTGAATGAGAGGGAGGGAGGCTCTGAGGGAAGTCCTGCCTTAGCACTTGGCCACCAGCAGCCCTGTTGCCCTTTCACCATCCCAATGGTCTCCCATCGTATTGCTGAGGATGCTTTGATTACAAAGCCAGGTCTCCTCACATAGAGAGGGAGTGGGCCTCCCTCTGACCCACACACTTTGCCCTCCTGCACCCACCATGAGCAACCTGGCCAAGAAGAGCGAGCACAGCAGTAGCAGCCTCGAGGAGGAGGTAAGTGCAGCCGGGCACTCCCTTGGGGAAGTGGGGCTGGACTAGGGAGGGCTGTGGGGTCCCGGTGACGTGGGAGCTCAAGAGCCGGGCTGGGTGCTTGACCTCTGCTGCCCAGGGCTCCAGGCAGTCGATGCCACTGTCCAGAAGACAGTGAGGCCTGAGAGAGACGGTGAGGTTCTTCCAGTGAACCATGCCCTGGTGCTCACCCCAGTCCCACCCACCCCTCTGCCGGAGACCCTCGGATCCGCCCCAGTCCTGCCTGCGAGTGACATTGAGCTGGCCACACCCACCCAGTAGGCCATGCCCACCCAGTAGGTTACACCCACCCCAGCCACACCCACCTGGCCCCGAGGGCAAGCACAATGCTGATGCGGCCCTCAATGAAATTGAGTTTGACACCCCTGCTCTTTCAGATTTCTTTTGCCAGGATTCTTTGCCAATTCTTTGCCTGGTTGGTCAGTTTTCTTTGTGTTTGGGTTGAATTGTTAATTGAGCCTTCCTAGTGGGAACTCAGAGACTTGGTACTTATCTCCGCCAAGTGGGAGCAGAGTTTGCTACTGTTTGTTTCAACATCTAAGGACTAGTTATCTGGAGTTTATTCCATAAACGCCTTGTTAAAATAAAAAGGGGGGTTTCATCATGAGTGAACTGTTGAGTAGCACTTGCTTAGGCTGGGTCAGCAGGCTGTACTTGGTAAGTGGCTACTGTACAATGTTTGTTTTAACAGTATACCACTTCTCAAAAAAAAAAAAAAAGCAAATGGAATATCCAAGGCTCTAAAAGGTATATCAAGTAACAACTTCCCCAGCTGGTGTAAAGGAAAAGGAATACAGATAGTCCTTGACTTACAACAATTGAGCTCAAAATTTCTGTTGCTAAGTGAAACATTTGTTAAGTGAGTTTTGCCCCATTTCACATCCTTTCCTGTCATAGCTGTGAATTGCTGCAGTTATTAAGGTAATAACACAATTGTTAAGTGAGTCCAGTTTCCCCATTGACTTTTTTGTCAGGTCACAGAAGCTGATCACATGATCCCAAGGCACTGCAACTGTCATAAATATGAGTCAGTTGCCAAGTATCTGAATTTTGATCATGTGACCATGAGGATGCTGCAACAGTCATAAGTGTGAAAAACGATCATAAGTCACTTTTTTCAGTGCCGTTGTAACCTCAAACAGTCACTAAATGAACTGTTGTAAGTCAAGGACTTTTGGGTACAGACATTCTTCGCCATCATACCATTATAGTTTTCTATAGTTAAATATTTGAGTATAACAACAATCAGGTCAAATATTTGTATCCATTTGTAATGTAAAATTGGCTGACCATTGGCTATTATAGTTACCTAGGCATGCAGCAGCACCAACCATAGCGTAGAGGCCCGGAGTTATGCAATCTGCTCCAACTTCACACCACTGCTTGAAGATAAACCAGTCGTGATGATAATAAGCCAATTGTTCCACAGCAATTCCAACAATTCTGCCAGCTATTGCTCCAATGGCCATACTGGGTATGAACAAGCCTGATGGAACCTAAAACAACAAAATGTCAAGGAAAATTGTGACTTGAATGAGTATCTTCTTTTTTAGATTTTTTAAAAGGCTATGAATGAATTTGCTTGTATAAAGAATTTGCTTGTATAAAGAATCCAAAAACAGAACACCTACAAGCTACGTTTGAACAATAATTTCCAAAGAGAATCAGAAACACGCAATGCAGAGATACAAATACCCTGTAAAAGACTTTAATAGCCTGTAGAAACTATTGTCACCAGTAATTCTTGTCATACAACTCATCATTTCCTGTACATACATATTTATCTCCCTCACACACCTCAGAGTAGCAGTGCCTCAGTCCTTGTGTATAATAATCCTAGCAATTTGCTTTTCCTCATTATAGCAGCATAACAGAATCAGCACATTAGCATAGCATGTTTTCCACTATACCAGGCATGTCAAACTCGTGACGTCGTGTGACGTATCGTGACTTTTTCCCCATTGCCGGCAATGGGGTGGGTGTGGTTTCAATATGATGCATCCGGCCCATGGGCCGACAGTTTGACATTCCCGCACTATACTGTCTGGAAGCAAACTTTCTACAAAGTAGAAAGTGATTTTTAAAAATTTAATTTTTTAAAAAACTGTTAGTCTGAAATTAAAAACTGGTTTGAGATGAAACAATCAGGGAACCAGTAAGAAAGACGAGAAAGCTCTGTTTCTTTAGCATTTCTGCTAAGAGACAGAATTTTAGAAGCATATGACCAAAATCAGAATAAGCTTTTTATCCAGTATTATCCTTTGACTTTAGAGCAGGGGTCCCCAATCCCCAGGCCCCGGCTCACTACCAGGCCATGGCCTATTTACAACTGGGCCACACAAACGGTGGGATGGCATGCGTACACATGCACATCTTGTCTCATGTGAACAGTGGGCCGGCGTGCATGTGTGCTCTTGCAGCTTGCATGCTGCAGCTTGCACAGTTGGGGGGAGAGGTGAACTGGGCTGCGAGGGACGGGCCAGCACATGTGCAGCTCAACTAGCTGAGCTCCGTGTGTGTGCGTTCGCACATCAGCCCGCTGCTAGCATGAGTTGAGCTGCGCACGTGCAAGGACCCAATTCTCAAATGGCCCAGTTCTACTCTCCCCTCAAGCAGGCCGCCAAGTCACAAAGGTTGGGGACCACTGCTTTAGGGTGTACTTTTCACTGTACTCATTTATCATCCAGCTATCTAGAATATGCTGCTAAATAAATATAAAGGTTTTTGAACCCTTAGTAGTACACAAGCATGAGTGAACAGTACTCAAGACCCTGAAATCTTACACCAACTTATCCAAAAATACATTATTTCAAAGCAATACAGGTAGTCCTTGACTTACAACAGTTTGTTTAGTAACCATTCAAAGTTACAACAGGACTGAAAAATGTGACTTATGGCCGTTTCTCAGAGTTATAACCTTTGCATCATCCCTATAATCATCTGATCAAAATTCAGATGCTTGGCAACTGGCTCATATTTATGACCATTGCTGTGTCCCAAGGTCATGTGATCACATTTTGTGACCTTCTGACAGGCAAAGTCAATGGGGAAACCAGATTCACTTAACAATCCGGTTACTAACTTATCAATTATAGTTATTCACTTAACAACGGTGGCAAAAAAGGTTGCAAAATGGAGCAAAACTCACTTAACAACAGAAATTTTGAGCTCAATTGTTGTATGTCAAGGACTATCTGTAAACAGTTTATCTTATGGAAATAAATTAGTTCTGTTCAATTGCCAGTAGAGAGATGGAGAACTAATTAGAGCACTGCAGAAAGAAAAATGAAAGAGACCAAAACAATGAGGAAGAAAAGTTTGTTTCATCTTACCTTAATACCAAAAGTGAAGACTGTCATTATAATCTTAAATATAAGAGCTAAGCACAGCTGCCATATTGCTGAATATACTCCAGTGCCTGCTGGACGGTCAGGAATGTCATCTACTATTTTACTGACATTCATGTCATTTCGATAATCACAAAGGGAGGATGATTCCAAAGGCCCACAGTCTGTAAAAAGTTCTTTAATTAGCTCACTGGTATTTACTCTGGTATAGGGGTTTGGAAAAGCAATGACAGCTGTTATTGCTGCTACAATAATAACCTCAAGAACTGGATACTTTCCAAATTTGGTTGATTTCCGTCGATGGCACCAAGCAATGTTGGCACGGATGAAAAATGCTCCCCACAGTCCACCAAATACACCCAGAAGAATGAAGGGCAATAGTTCAAATAGATACCATGGAGTGTGATATTCGACATAGAAAAGAACCAGACGACTGTTTCCAAACGGATTGATGGATCTTAAAACAAATGCAGCCACCAAAGCAGCAAAAAATGATCTCCACAAAGTCTTCAATGGAAAATAATAACTGACCTATAAAGACACAAAAAAGAATATAAATGGATCTATGGTCAAAATTACTTTATTCTAAATAGTTTATTGACACAAAGTGCCAAGTGGACCTAACCAGGTCTTCAAACTTTATTGCCAATGAATCAAACAGGTACTGTGCGTTTCCCGAGATGTTTCAGCGACCTCCAAGGATCTAGCCACAGCAGAATTTTTGAGCCGGCACAATGGTACAGTAAAAATTCCCTACCTGGAGAGATAGGGCTCCTGTGACTCTGGACATGTAGAAACAACAGAGCATATACTCCTCCAGTGCTTGTATTATTTATTTATTTTATTTTTTTAACCCACTTTTATTATTTTATAAGTAACTCAAGGCAACAAACACAGATAATACTCATTCCTCCTATTTTCCCTACAACAGCCTTGTGAGATGGACTGAGCTGAGAGAGACAATTGGCCCAACATGACTCAGCTGTTTTTCATGCTTAAAGCCAGACTAGAACTTAAACTCTCCTGCTTTCTAGAGCAGCACCTTAAGCACTACACCAACCTGGCTCCTTACAGAGACATCATACTGACCTCATCTCATTGTTACTACTTAACCCCCAGGGCGCAAAGGACAATTTTACACCTTCCTGCTGCTTGCAGACAATCTTGCTATAACCTACAATGCTGTCAAGTTCTAAGCAGCAGCACTTAAAATTCGTTAGATGATTATTTGTGCCATAAAGTAGAATGCTTATTTACATTTTGTAAATATTATGCTATAACAACCAAGATATTGTCTTACATGTTAAGTGGAAAGCTATTTATTTTAGATTTTTAAATGATAACATCAGAACAAAGCCTTTAACAACAATGAATACAGACAAACTACTGCTAGCCATCATTAATCATTGATAACAAAAATGAATTCATGATAAGGATAAAAAAAAAGAATCTATGGCAAATAGGAATTGTCTTCAGAAAAGGAAAGTTTTATAAAATGGTAGATTTTTCTTTTGTTCTGTTAAAATGACATAAACAATTGCTTAAGTAGATCAAATGTATTTTGTGTTGTCTGATAATTTACTATCATTTATCTGCAAAATATGTTGTAAAATATTTCTTTCTATTTGTGACTGAACCGCTCTATGTAAAGGGGATGAAACCATGCTCAGTTATATCTGCAAGCGGCAATAACAAGTAACAAGCAAATCCAGGTACTTTCAGTACTGGGTATACATACTTCTTCTAGGCTGAAAAGAACTCCTCCAATTGGGGCACCAAATGCTACTGATACTCCAGCTGCGGAAGCAGCAGATAATACCTAGAGAACAAATTAGATGGTTTTAATTTATCTAAATACTAATTAATGAAATATGTATACTTACATTCAAAGAGTTTGAGCTGATTCCTATATAGAGCAGCAACTTAGAACTAAGGAGAAACTTCCTGACAGTTAGAACAATTAACCAATGGAACAACCTGCCTCCAGAATTGGTGAATGCCCCAACACTGGAAGTTTTTAAGAAGAGACTGGACAGCCATTTGTCTGAAATGGTGTAGGGTTCCTGCCTGAGCAGGGGGTTGGACTCGATGACCTCCAAGGTCCCTTCCAACTTTATCATTATTATTATTATAAGAAAGAATAAATAAGCATCTACAACAGCACCAAAACAACCGAATAAGATTGCCTGCATTGAAGCTTGTTGTTATTATTATTATTATTATTATTATTATTATTATTATTATTATTATTATTATTATTATTATTATTATTATTATAATGTGGCATTTATTTATTTTCTAACTCAAAAATTTATTTTTCTGGGTTACATGGCTATAAAAAAAGACCAGTAAAAGGCAGTTTCTTCATGAAAGCAATGGACAAGGGCATCCATAGCAACTTTTCCACTTTGGATCCAAATAGGTACACAGCCCTGTATAGTATTCAAATAATAAACCCTCTTCGCATCAATGAAAGCTTCTTGTGCTTCTTAATTATGCAAGATCCACATATAAATATTTCTTCCAACAGAAAGCAAACACATTTCTATTGAAGTAAGGGAGAAGAAAAGTCTCTTTGCGGTGGAAGACTTAAGGCTGATAAGGAATCCTGCATAACAATGTCTGGCACTGAACCCTTGCTTTACACCAGGGCTTTTCAACCTTTTCACCTATAGTACCACTTTTAGAATATGGCAATATTCGAGTACCACCAGTTGCCTAGCAAGGTGTCAAAAACTTGATGACCAAAAAAAAAGGAACAAATTGATAAAGTACAGGCAGTTTGCTTAGTGACTGTTCAAAGTTACAACGGCACTGAAAAAAGTGACTTATGACCATTTTTCACACTTATGGCCGTTGCAGCATCCCCAGGGTCATGTGATTTACATTTAGATGCTTGGCAACTGATTCATATTTATGATGGTCACAGTGTCCCAGGGTCAAGTGATCCCCTTTTTCAACCTTTTGACAAGTGAAGTCAATGGCTGGGGGGTGCTTGTGGGGGGAGATCCAGGGGTCTCCAGTGGAGGGGGGTAGGACTGGGGTGGGTAACAGGACATGGTTCATCAGAGGCGCCTCATCATCCTTCTTGGGCTGTGCAGGGGACTCCAGATGGTAGTGCGGGCTGCCCTGGGCAGTGGGGGGCAAGCACCCAGCCCGGCCCTCGAGCTCCTGGGGCACCAGGACCCTGCAGCTCAACCCAGTCCAGCCCCACTTTCCTGAGGGAGCATTGGCTGCACTTACCTCCTCCTCGAGGCTTCTGCTGCTGCTGTGCTCACTCTCCTTGGCCAAGTTGCTCATGGTGGGTGCAGGAGGGCAAAGTGCATGGGTCAGAGGGAGGCCCACTCCCTCTCCATGCGAGGAGACCTGGCTTTGTAACCAAAGCATCCTTCGCAATAGAATGGGAGACCACCAGGTTAGGCCAGGAGGAAGGGGCAAGGGGATAGTGAAAGGGCAGCAGGGCTGCTGGTGGCCAAGTGCTAAGGCAGGACTTCCCTCAGAGCCTCTCTTCCTCTCATTATAATCTCCTTCCTTCCTTCCTTCCTTCCTTCCTTCCTTCCTTCCTTCCCTTTTTTCCCTATCCTCTTCATTCTCCTTTCTTTTTTCTTCCTTCCCCTCTTTCCTTCTTTTTCCTTCCTTGCTCTCTTCCCCTCTTTCCTTCTTTTTCTTTGTCTTTCCCTTTCTCCTTTCCTGTCCCTGCTTGGATGCTCAAATGCAAAAGGGGAAACATTTCTCGATGTCTCCTTGCCTTGTGATCAAATGCCACTTTTGCTAGTAGTTTGTGGCCACTTAAAAGATTGAGAAAAACCAGGCTCATTTTATCCTGTGCTTGCATTTAGTGGGGGCATCCACAGACAACAGTACAGCAAAACTGTCAAAATGGTGGCTGTGATAGTTGATCAGAGCTCCTCTGTTTTTTATGGCAACAGCTTTAGCGTTTAGGAAGAGAGGTAGCTTAGTTGCTTTTCTATTAATACATATTCCTTAAAAGGGCTCTTTTGTAGGGACCCTGCCTTGGTCTAATTCAGACTGGAAATATAGCAAAATAAAATATTTTCCCCCACTCTGCTTTGACCTGTTTTCCCCACTGGAAATGGCTGTTTGCAACATACAAGGAGGGGATACTTTCCTAAGAGCTCACAATTCAAGAATACCAATGTTAACTTGGACTGCCAACAAAGTTCTGTCTGTGACAAAACAGACCACAAAATTGCTTTCTCCTTTGAACTGGGGCATTTCCAACCGAATTGCCTCTCTCTCCCTCCCTCCCTCCCTCCCTTCCTCCCCTGCTTTTTTTTTTTAACTTCCAGAGGCTCCAGGCAGAGGTGGCAGCAGGCAGGCAGTGGTGGGCAGAGCCTTCACATTGTTGCCTTCACGTTGTTGCCTTCGCATCTCAGCTCACCTCTCCCAGACGCGTGCATGGGCGGTCTCACCCCTTGCAGCCCCGCGCCCTCAACAGAGACCTTCTGTGATGGCAGGCTGCAAACTAATGAAAGCTGTTTTTTTGGAGTACTTGTTGCTTTTTCTCAATGTGCCGCTGATTGCATCGTGCTCTGCGCCCCTCAGCTCCCACCCCCAACCCCGTGGAAGGCTGGAAGAAGCTCCCATCACAGCTTCTCTTACCTCTCCCGTTCTTTTCCTCCCCAATATCACAGCATGGGGCTGCAAGGAGTGAGACCCCCGCCCATGCACCCATACACAAACATGTGCACAGGTCTGGAAAAGGTGAGCTGAGAACCATGCAGAGGCCCTTCAGGCACAGAGGCAACAATAGGGGAGGGGTCAAAATGGGAAACCTCCTGGGGGGACTTCCGGTGGCAGGCAACCTCGTCGGACGCAGCTGTTGCTGCCTCCCGCCTGTTTCAGCGTAAAAGCCGTTTTGACAGCTAGCATCAGCTGTCAAACGGCTTGATACCCTTCCCCTGGGCATAAGGGGATAGGTGAGCTGCCCGGGGTAGGAGTTGAGTTCCCGAGTCGTCCCATGTGGACGATGTAGGTGAGAACTCCTCCGGAGCCCCGTGGTTTCTCCGCGATCCAGGATGCCTTCGCTTCGGCGAAGCTAGAAGCCGCCGCCACTGCTGCAACTTAAAGTGAATTGTGAGTTTTTTCTTATAAGCAGACGAACCGACCCTGGAAGTTTGCTTTTTATCTTGGACTTTACTCTAACTTGGATAATAAGTTCTTCCCTATACTTGAGTTGGACTGAGGGAAAGTGAACTTAAAATGGCGATGGATTGATACTTTTCAGCAAGAAGTGAAAGTGATTTCCGGTCNGCGGGAGGTGACAAGAGCATGAGTGACTGTGCGTAAGGCGTCCCGGTCCAGAAAAGGCCGCAACTGGTAAATCAGGCGAACCTGATAAAACGCCCCCCTGGTCACGGCCGACAGATGGTCATCCAAAGTCAGCCGTGAATCCAGGAGGACTCCCAAGTTGCGTGCCCTCTCTGAGGGGGCCAAAGATTCGCCCCCTATACTCAGCGATGGCGTCAGCTGACCATACCGAGACGCCAGCAACCACAGCCACTCGGTCTTGGAAGGGTTGAGCCTGAGTCTGTTCCTCCCCATCCAGACCCGTACGGCCTCCAGGCAGCGGGCCATCACGTCAAGGGCATCGTTGGGGTGGCCTGGGGTGGCCTGGGGTGCCTACTAATCTGTGATAGTGACCCAAAGGGGATCCACAATGACCCACAGGCCAGCATTCATTACTAGGCTGGTGTCCTCTCTTGTGGATTAGAACATTCTTAGCTGCTATCTTCCTTCCATTTGATGGAACAGCTTATTGGCAGTTGGATGAATTGCAGCATAATGTGGGAAAGTTGGTTTTTTGGGGGGAAGAGAGAAACCTTGCTACCATATACTTTAGGACACAGCTCATTCAGTTGCCAGTTAAGTTGTTCACTAAACTGATTGAAAAAGTGCTATCCATATGAAGAAAAGTTGGAATCTTGCAGAAAAGCATGGTTTTAAAGGCACTTTTTTTTTTAACCAAACCATGTTCTTTTATGGCTAGCCTATTTCAACTGAGTGATTGAAGTTTACTAAATTTACTTCCAGTGTAGCTGGGGTAATCTGATCTAAATTGTGAAGAAAAAAGTTTTCTGCATCTTTGTTATCATTTAGCATCACTAGGATTTTTGCAGCCCAAGCCTGGTAACTTAAGTATGGTAGCACAAGCAAGGATTAGATAATCTGTGGTAGTCAGCTGAGTTTGCTTTACTGTGGCTTGGCAGCAATGCTGACATATGGCTGAACCTAGCTAGAGATTAAAATATTGGAAAGCTCTGACTCATATCTATGTTCAATAATGAAAACTCACTAGCTAACTTTTGACTTTGGATCACTCATACTTTTTCAGTCCATTACCTCAATTATTACTGTGGGGTAAATTATTAAGGGAAAAGGGATTCCTATACATGTCATCTTTAGCTTCTGGAATAAATTTGCAAGACACATCTTACAAATTAGTTATAAAAATAAAATACAGAAAAAACTATTAACAGTGCCCAGTCAACCTATTGAGTATGACAGGCATTCTTGCATAGTTGAGCACATTTAACACATGCAATCTACATATTACTAAAACTTCTATGTACGTTGGTAATCATTGGGCAAAACGGTACATCAGAAAGCAACAACTTTGGAATCAACATACTTCAAAAGGGTATGGGAAGGAACAAAGAATCACGCGTGCAGCCCATAGACGCAAGGAGAAGGAAAGACAGATGACAGCCCGCCCTATAGCTGATAGCCCTACAGCTGACTGTCCGTTACCTGCTATTTCTGAGCCAGTAGGTGGCGCTCGACCTAAGGTTTTTGTTAAGTCTTATGCATCAAGTATTGTCAGTGGATTGAAACCTCCCAATGTGTAAGCTTATATCTTGGAATGTGGGTGGACTTAATGTTCCCCATAAAAGACGTAAGGTTTTTCATTACCTAAGACATTTCAACAATGATATTACATGCTTACAAGAGACTCATATTGTGGCTAAAGATCAAAAATTATTATTGAATTCTAAGCTTGGAGATCTGTTTGTTGCATCTGCCTTAAAAAAAAGAGCTGGGGTTGCAATATATATTAAAAGACACCTTTCACCTATCTTAAAAGAAGCTGATAAAGAAGGAAGATTTTTATTTGTGGAAATAAACTTAAATGGAAGAAAGTGTTTAATAATAGGGGTTTATGCCCCTAATCAACTTTCAGCCCAAAAACAATTTTATAGACAATTACATCAGAAAATTGTGGCTATGGATTATAATTCTTTGATTGTTATGGGAGACTGGAACGGTGTTCTTGACACATTAAAAGATAAAAAAACAACTTCTAAGGATGTAACCCTTTCCAGGCTACCTAAGTCTTTTTTTGCAATGATGGAGGATCTAGAATTGGTGGATGTTTGGAGATTACAACATATGGATGAACGTGATTTTACCTTTTTCTCTCACAGACATGAGTCGTTTTCAAGGATTGATTTTGTTTTGACATCGACTGACTTGCTTACTGACTGTAATAAAACTAAAATTTTCCCCAGAACTTTGACTGATCATAGCATGGTGTGGATAGAGATTGGTCAACAAAGAAAAAGGAAATCCTGGAGAATAAATGAAAACTTGTTTAATTATGAGGATAAAGTTAAAGCTTTGA